TTTATATTTTTACAAAAAAAATTGAAAAAATCGGTAATGATTGTTCGTTATCTTTGAATCTACAGGGCCTAGCAAAAAGTGTTGTATGCACAGTTTATAGAAAATTTTATTACCTTTTAAAAGCTTCAAACCGTTTTAGAATTGCTTAATTCGTTCTTGAGATATATATGATAAAGTGGACCCAATTTTTTTTTTTTTGCAAAAACGGTAAATTGCAAATATCTCAAAAACGGTACCATCGAATTAAAAATAACCTTGATTTTCGGAATCAGGGGGTGATTTTACATAAGAATTTCATAACGGCGTTTCTGGTAAAGAGAAAAAGTTGACATTTGTGGTCCAGTGTAATCATTGCGCGCAATCTTGCCAACGAAAACATAGGCAATGTTTTCGCTAATGATCGTTTGCTCAAGTATTTACCACGGTAAAATACAATCGCAAAATGTGTTAATATCAGTGATGGCAATCACAAATTTTTTCCGTACCAAAAAACGTACCAAAACGCTTTTGAGAGTGCCACACGGATTATTTTGCAGTAATAAAGGACAAATGGTTTTTATTTATTTATTGTTTTTCAATACAGAAACAAAAAGTTTTAAACATAAATTAGCACACATAAATTCACTTCACTATATTAATTTTTAACAAAATGATTTAAAGAATTAAAGCTTAAAATCAAACTAAAACGAACTACACTCACGGAAAAAAATATTGGCACAGAAAACTTTTTACAATGTACGCAAACTTTTTATTATAATTGTTCCGCTATTTTTTATAAAAATTTAATTCATACTACAGCAAAAAACATAAAAATATAATTTCTCTGATCAAAACTCAAGAGAATTCAATATATTTTCATGCGAATTTTAATCTTTTTAAGCGGATTATATTTTTTCATGTTTTGTTTTTGTTTTAGGATTAACTATATTTTCATGAAAAATTACCAGAAAAAAATTAAATTAAAAAAGTTTGGACACATTGTAGAAAGTTCTTAGTGCTAATAGTTTTTTCCGTGAGTGTTGGTTTCACTTTATCGGCTTATAGTCTCTTGCAGGAGACCATACATAATGCATTTCATTTTTAACTAATTCTTTACATACCATAATATTATGGATAGTCTTATCTTCTAATTTATTTCTAAGACTTGTTTTAATAAGATTAAGGGACGAAAACTTTCTTTCTGCAGCTGCAGAGCTATGCGGCAAGGTTAATAAATTAAAAATAAAATTGGTCAGTTCCGGGAACATTATCTCGCCCAATCCATTTTAAAAGCTTGCTACCTTTTGCCAAAAAGAATTAATATCCAAATCGCTTTTCAAATTATGGTCGCTTATTGTTCAAGGATGCGCAAAATAACTCCTTCTAATGAGAGCCACCTTGTATGGGATATCCCTAAAATTTTGTGTGGTTTTACCGCACAATAGTTCTGAAATTCTATAAAATCGTATACTCGCTTAGGGCTGTGCGAGAAAAACCCGTAAATATTTCGACACAGCCACTCTATTTGCTGTGGCAATTTTTTGCAAGCATAGCTTGTACAGAGGTGGAGTGAGTGACATGTACATTTTAAGTAAAAAATATCTGTTTCCGCTTCAAATAGAGTTCTTACGCTTTTTAAATGTCCCGCCATTACGGTAGCTCCGTCCGTAGCCAAGCCAATAACATTTTCAATTGGAATCTCATATGCACGGAAAAAATCTTTAATAGCTGCAAACACTGAATTTGCGTCACATTTTGGCAATTCTATTAAAGCTAGGAATCGATCGCGAACAATTAGATTGGCGACATATCTAAGCACTTTTTTGCGGAAACATATGTTGTTTCGTTAATAATTAGTGAAAACTTACTCGACTTAAGTTCCGAAATTAATTCTTTCATTGTATTAAAACAAATTGTTTCCGTTAATTGCGTAGCTTTAGTTCTTGCAATTTTCAAATGTTTTGCCACTTCTGAGTCAGGACCACATTCAGCCAGCAGCTCAGGAAAGTTGTTCATCAATGTGAAAGGTAAATTGTGCGATATCAGGAACATTACCAATGTGAGCTCAGCGTTTTGTACCATTTTATGTATTTGCCTCTTATTTACATCTAAAAAGGAGTCAATTGAAATTTTCTTTCTGTTTCCTTCCATATTTTTAACGTGGGCAGTAATAGTTTCATGCCTTTCCAAATGAGGCAAGTGATTCACTACGCCTTTATTACATGCCTCACAAAAGGCTGAACCATCTTTGTTAGACAGCCATGCGAAAGTGGTGAGCCACTCAGCTCTAAACTTTCTTTTGATTTCAGCACTGAAAAATATGTGATTCAAAATAGAAAAATTACATATCGCTAGCTTAGAGTGAAATGTTGCTAAGTCCACTTTTTATGAACAATTAGTTTTTGATGCAGGAAGCAAGGAATATTGAAAATGCACCGTTTCTGAAAGGATCTAACTACTTGTTTTATTTCTACCCGTTTTATTCCGTGATGTGCAAAATTGCTAAGTCCAAAGTAGTCACAGAAAATTTGATAAGTCCAAAAAAATATGCATATTTTTTTTACGCTATCGAATGCGATTTGTATTGAGGGTTTTGCAACAACATTATTTTTGAATATTTATGTACATATGTATGTATGTATATTAGGCTGGGTCGATTTTGTATGAGGGAAAATAAAAGGTATTTGACCGTATTGTAATAGTAATATTATGATGTCTAAGGTCTAAGCCAATTGTTATTAGACAAGAAAGATTAATTTAAAACTTATCTTTAGCCCGCGCAATTGAATCAAAGTGTATGAATTTCGAAAATGAAACTTTGGCTTGTAATATCTATCTATGGAATGCGTTAATTGTTATAAACAGGACGATATATCAAATTAAGGTTTATTAAATTTAGTAATCGTTTGACAAGTTAATAGTAGTTGCAAGCATAAATATAAGTATTTGCATACATTAACATAATACAATTAGGGCCCATTTTAAGTCCATTTTTCGTGGTTTCTAAATTTGCCGTTATATGAAAGTAGGGGACGTGCAACAAGTGTTTACATAAATATTTTAGGTAATTCCATTATGTGAAAAAGTAACTGTAGGTAGGTAAATGCAATAGTCTTTAACATATCCTGGAAAATCCTTTTGAGGACTCTCCAATTGGACGATATTGCTTTGCATTCAGCTTGAACGAAAAAAGTCACTCCCTGGCATACTTTCCTGTAATCCTGTTCTTTCATTTAAAGGTTATCTATAAAATTAAAGATATTTTTTTTTAGAAAAAAACTGGAGATCCACTTAAGTTTTTCGATATAACTTTGGTAAATGTTACTCGATCGGCACGTAATAATTACCAAATTGAAGGCGAGACTTGCTATTACTGATTCATGATAATAATATGTTGAAAATCATTCAGATTATAAACAAACTAGTAATAACCCCCCGAAATTCGGGTGAATGCATTAAAGAAATATTTGCAGATACTAAGTATTTAAACTTAAGTAAAAAATAAAACGTGATGTTCATGAATATACCTCAGTATTTAGCTTAAAATTTATTTAAAGAACTTCGCGAAAGACAACAATTAATCTTGTATTGCTAGAGACCTGATAACCCAAGATAATTTTGAAGTTATTAAAGGGCCTTACTCTACTCATAGCTTCTACAGTGGCCCGCGAGAAAACAGTAATTTTTAAGGTATAGTCCAACCTTTCACAATATCCAACCAAGGGCTTTATTAGCCGTAGTCTGAGACGCAATAATCTTTTAAAATTGGCGCCGTTTCATGGTGAAAGGCATTTGGTATATCGCTTTTAAACTAAAGCTTTCTTAACACTTTCAATACAAAAATTCTACCACTGATTCTACAAATTTTAATATACATAAATATGTATACCGGCTAATTTGGATCATTCATTTCAAAAATCGCATCAAAAATTTTTTAGAATTTTGAATTTTACCGTCATCCTGGGCCCTTTAAATTTGTCAGTGATATCCTAGGTGTTTAAAAAAGAAAGTGATCTAAGCTATTTTTATTTTTTGCTTTCGCGAAATAAATTTCGAAACTATGAATAACACGAATCCGAATACAAATTCCACGGATATTTGGTAAATATTTTTCTATAGATTACACTGCTCACTATTAATTTTTCTGCCAATTTAACTTTTAAGACAAACACGGTTATCGCAATTGCAGCCCTAACTAAGTCGTATGACTGAGCAATTATATATAGATACGTTGAGAGTGAGTCGAGAAAATGTTTAAACGCTTATATTTTAGCACCTACCTCACCGATTTGAAATCTGATAATTTCTGGATAACCTCTGGAGCTTGCACTTTAATTTGTTATACAACGCAATTCTGTAGCTACACGAGATCGCCATAACTAAGTCGTATGACTGAGCAATTATATATAGATTATTTTAAAATAAAAAAAAAGTTTAACAAATTTTTTTGTCATTTTCCTATATTTGCAATTTTTATATTGTATGCATAAACATAAGTAAACTAGTGTTTCTAGAAGTTGTGCCTGTTCAGTGAAGAGAAGATTTATCCTTAACAGCGGTCGCCCCTCGACAGGCAATGGCAAACCTCCGAGTGTATTTCTGTAAAGAAAAACAGCGTAAAACTGTAAGTCCCTTCCCTTTGTGTGACAACATCAAGGCGCACGCCACAAATCGGAGGAGAAGCTCGGCCAAACACTAACATATGTGTAAGCGCCAATCTATTACACAACGGAACAAAAATGAGAAACAATTTCGTTGCATCAAATGTTAAAGCTGTTTTGGATAGACTTTTTTATGCTGATTACGAATCCGTAAGTATAAAGTCTCCATCAGCTCTAGATTTGGAAAAACAAACCAGGTCAAAGTGTCAAAAAATCGCGTTTTTTGCAATATTTTAGAAGCCATAGCAAAGAAACTAAAGGTGATATTAGGCTTAAATTAAAGCTAGAAGTTTAGAGTACTATCTCTGAAAATACCATCCCTGCACGTTGAATTGATGGTCACTTATAGTAATCAGCATAAAAAAGTCTATCAAAAATAGCTTTAGCATTTGATGCAACAAAATCACTGTTCCCTTGTGTTATTATTATTTTTAAAAGAACCTAAACAATTTGTTCTAACAAATTGTTTCTTAAAATGTACCTACGAGGTGGATTTTTCGTATTGTACATATTGGAAAAATGCATGGAAATTTTGCTAAGTCCAACAAAAAAATTTTAAGAAAAAAGTAGAAAATTTGCTAAGTCACAAAATTATCTACAAAATTTGTAAAAAAGCAGACTTTTTTATTATTATTTTTTTTAATAAAGGGTAAATGAAAACCGCGAAACATTGCATTCGAAGTTTTGCAAAATTACTTAGCAACGTTTTTTGTGTCTCCTGTACAATTGAAAAAAATGGACTTAGCAACTTTGCACTCTAAGCTAGCGATATACATATGTATGTATGTATGTATGTACTAAAGCACTGCAAATATACCAGCAGAAATACTCTTCACATGTGTACATGAGTAAATGGAACATATATTTTAGAGTACTTAAAAAGATGAGAACAAAAAAAGAGAACATAATAAATTTGAGCAACTGAGCAATGTTACTCAACAGAGCTCTGCTACATAAAACACTGTTCCGCTTTTCCAGAGTACTTGAGTATGTTGATTGCATTCAGTAGTATTTGAAAACTTCATAGGAACCCAATAAGCAAAATAAACTTAAAGAAAGTTTTTTTTAAGTTTTCAATTATAAACATTAAGCTTACAAAACGTTGATTTTTTGTTTATAAAACGCTTGAAAGTAAACGTAATATAATCGAAAAGGAACATTGGTTATAAGCGTAGAAATATAAACTTGTAATAAATGTTCAAAAGAAAGCTTTTTATAAGCGTAAAAGTGAAACTTATAATAAAGGTTCAAAAAAAGTTTTTTATAAGGGTATGAATATAAACTTACTAAAAATTTACAAAAGAAAGCTTTTTATAAACATCTTTATAACACTTTATTTAAAGATATTTCATTAAAAACTCATACATAGATTGCTTAACATCTAGAAACTAAACGAAATGCGAATTTTCGGCGGACTCATCTACTGTCGCGAAAATATAAATAGGGAATAGACATTTTAGCATACTAATTCACAATAACACATACAAATTAAGCATAAAAAAGTTAATTATTACATCTTGTTGCGTGCTTTCAATTACTTGCGGTTATTAGAAAATTGGAAAAGCGACATCGATGCAGCTATATATTCCGCTTCATCGCCGCCATTCTCATTGATGAACTTTTCTGAAAAAAATTTAATACATTTTTAATTGAATGTTAAACTAAGAAAGGATAAGGGGAACTCATCATTTGAAGACTCGAATGCTCCACCGATTAGCGCAGCGGGTCCTGGATTGGATTTTTTTTACCACATCGGTTTTATTTAATTTTTTCTTTTAATAATATATTTTAATAAACGTAAACACGTCACCTACGATTGGAAAAATTTTATATTTACTACTTCATGTCGTTGGCATTTACATTTCATTTATAAGTTTAAGTTATTTATAAACATTCGCTCTCAAAACTTATTAAAGGTTTATTTGAAAAAACTTTTAATAAGCTAATTTGAAAATGCTTATTTAACGCTTATTATAGCAAACTTAATTTAAGTTATTTTTAAAAACGTTTACTGAAATGCTTGTTGGGAAGTATAAGAATACTTATGAAGTTTTTTCTTTTAAATGTTAGCAAAAAAAAAGACATACATTTTCTTTTTATTCCAATATATACTTAAACTATTGTTTTACATTTCTGGCCGGATGCTTCAATGTTTGCAAAAAAGTTCCAATCTTTCATACATATACATGCTTTATGTACATATGTACGTATTATGTAAATTTTTTTTAATATCGAAAAATGTGTGCCCATTTTCCCGCGACCTGTCTTTATGGCCAGTTTTTATTTTCAAATTGATATTTTCATTTCCCAATACCAGGCGCTCATACATGTAAAGTAACAAGTTTTCTATTTCTAAGCAGAAAATTGTTTGTATAAATTTTTAAATTTCCAAAATTCTACTTTGTGAATTTCCAAAGGCTTCTACAAACGAATTAAAATCTTCTACAAACAAATGCAAGGCGAATTTATATAAGGTGGTGTTACTAGCTCAGCTGATTTTGTGTATGTGTTTCGCCGCACGGCTTCTGATATCAAATTGAAAAATTTTGTTTGAATTTTTACACACACTCTTACAGATTTTGACAGTTTATGCCGCCAAAGCAAAAACAAAATACATGTAAATTTTTGTTTTTGTACTCCTGCTATCACCTTATATTAAATCGCCTTGAACAAATGTATGCGTTTGGAAAGCTTAAGCTTAAAGAAAGTTTTTTTTTTAGTTTTCAATTATAAACATTAAGCTTACAAAACGTTGATTTTTTGTTTATAAAACGCTTGAAAGTAAGCGTAATATAATCGAAAAGGAACATTGGTTATAAGCGTAGAAATATAAACTTGTAATAAATGTTCAAAAGAAAGCATTTTATAAGCGTAAACGTGTAAACTTATAATAAAGGTTCAAAAAAAGCTGTTTATAAGCGTATGAATATAAACTTACTAAAAATTTTCAAAAGAAAGCTTTTTATAAACATTTTTACAACCCTTTATTTAAAGGTATTTCATTAAAAACCCATACATAGATTGCTTAACATCTAGAAACTAAAAGAAATGCGAATTTTCGGCGGACTCATCTACAGTCGCGGAAATATAAATAGGGAATAGACATTTTAGCATACAAATTCACGATAACACACAAAAATTAAGCATAAAAAAGTTAATTATTACATCTTGTTGCGTGCTTGCAATTACATGCGGTTATTGGCAAATTGGAAAAACGATGCAGCTATATATTCCGCTTCATCGCTGCCATTCTCATTGATGAACTTTTCTGAAAAAAATTTAATACATTTTTAATAGAATGTTAAACTAAGAAAGGATAAGGAGAACTCATCATTTGAAGACTCGAATGCTCCACCGATTAGCGCAGCGGGTCCTGGATTGGATTTTTTTTTTACCGTATCGGTTTTATTTAATTTTTTCTTTTAATAATATATATTAAAAAACGTAAACACGTCACTTACGATTGAAAAAATGTTATATTTACTTCATGTCGTTGGCATTTGCATTTAATTTATAAGTTTAAGTTATTTATAAACATTCGCTCTCAAAACTTATTAAAGGTTTATTTGAAAAAACTTTTAATAAGCTTAATATTAAAAATGCTTATTATAGCAAACTTACTTTAAGTTATTTTTAAAAACATTTACTGAAATGCTTGTTGTGTTGCTATTTCATATGTATGTGCGCCTGGTATTGGGAAATGAAACTATCGTATTGTACAAATAAAAATTGGTTCTTTGTTTAAAATGAGTCCACTTTCTTTATAAAAATATGCTGTTCGCTAAATATCCTACGTTGTTTCTCCATGTTTGCTATTTAACATAAGAGTCAGCTCTAACATTAACATGATGTAGGCATTAAACGAAAACTTCCAAAAATACTGAAAAAATACTTGTGAAGGAACATCTTTTTTGTGGAAGTTTGACAGCATGGTACTGCTGATTTATGTTCCTCTTTTTTTCGGAACATAATTTGTTTGAGTACTTTTTTTATGTATACAGCGCTCAATATCTTCACTTCTCTTCCTTCCATGCCCTCTTTGTTAGAGTATGAGTAGTATACATATTTGAAAAAAACTTCACTGTGAAGCAAACTGAATTCCGATGCAGACCTTTAGTATGTACATACCCACCGGACTGAAAGTTAGCTGCTCCCCAAAGGAGCGAGTATGGAGCAGTACAAAAGCAAAGTAAAAAATAAATTTTTAAATTTCTAACAATGCTCAGAAATAAATATCATTTTGAGTAGTTCTTTTGAAAAAAAGTTAATTTATGTACACACATGTATGCATGTATGTATTTTTGTATGTATACCACATAGAAAAGAAAAAAACCATGTTTATATGTAAGTACACTTGATAAAACCATCAAATGGTTTACAAAAACGCCATTCTTTTATTAAAACAAAAATATAATGTAAAAATTAAAATTTGTATGCATTGCTTTTTAAATGCTCACCAAAGGCTTTTTTGGGAGGAGCAAGTGAGCGCTTCTTTCTAATGACACACAATGTTAAAATACAATGAAATGTGAAATTAGGAAGGGAGCGCTTACTGCTGAATGTGGAGCGCTCCAATAGAACTAATGGAGCGCTTCTGGCTCCGTTGGGTATTTAACACAAATCCACAAACACTTACGTCTCTGACATGCCTCCTTCATTTGAGGCTTCTTGATTATTGTTATTGTAATTTTCCCTTTTCTTTTTAATCACGAATCTGCAAACAAACCACAAATTTAATAAATTTATTCCAATTCAAATTAATTTTGCTTTCTTACTTGTCCATCATCTATTTCCATTAAAACTCGTCTGTCTTTATTCATATATTTATTGCGTAGTTTACAAGAATTGTAAAGATGCACACTGTTAGTCGATGTTTTCATAACATCGATGGCTTTGCGATGACTTTCGCAAGGATGCGTACTATTAGTCGACTTTCGCGTACTGACGATTTAATTATATTGACGCTCTCGTTTCAATTATTGGACTTTTAATTAACGAATGAAAATAATATATAGAAAATATATGTAAATAAAAAACAAAATATTGTTTTCCCGAACTTTAAGGAAAAAGTACCAAAATCAAAAACAACGTACCAACGTACCAAATCATTTTCAAAGTACCAGTTTTGGTACGAAAGTACCAAAATTGGCAACGCTGGTTAATATGAGAAGATTGTATTTTTAATCGTTCGCGAGCGTTCGTTGCTAGAGCGTGGGTAAAAAAATCGTTGAATTTATTTTGATACGAACGAAGGCAGGTCACTCGCTTTTTTGATATAAAAATGGGCAAAGTATCGAATATTGACAACACAAAACTTGTTACATATAATAAAGACACAAATTCTTCGAAGTGCCTTTTATGTGAAAAACAAAGGGTACATATGTGTTAGGAAACATTAAAAGACATTACAAGACCACATATATATAATACATATATATGTATTTATAAAATATCTAATGTGTGGGTTTCTTGGGCTAAACACGTAGGAGTTTACGGACAGAGGCTCAGTATATCCAGTAAAAAAACTGTGGTGAAGTCCTTTATGGGCATAAAGTTTCCAGAGGTGACATTTTTGGTAGCACAAAATTTCTTGCTTTTCAACACTAATGAAATAAACTTTAGAATTTATTACAATAAAGTTTCGTTTACTGAATAAATTTTACGAGTAAACCCAAATATATTGATTTACTTTAATTAATAAATATCAAAGAAATTTTAAATCCCCGTTTGATAATAAATTTGTTACAAAATAACATTGCTTATCGGAACGCTCTGAGCGATGCCGCTGAAAAGTTGCTTTTCGAACAAAAACACCCTGGCCCTTGTTGTTGCTGTATTGTATCGGGGTGAATTTACCTTTGCAAGTAATTTGCTTGTGTCAAAAGGTAAACAAAAAAAATTTATTTCCCAAATTTATCAGTTTGTTTGATGTAAATTTATTTATTTTAGGTACATAGCAAGGTGAAAGTTTCGTGAAGATAAAAAATGAATCGTCTGTGCCTACGTATGTATGTCCCATTGAATAGTTTTTGCACAAAGTGAAACTTGAACTAGCTGAACATAGACCGAAGAATAAATGGGCATTGAAAAAAATCTGTCTTATCTTTAGTTTCGCCCGAAAAAATTTCATCCGAACGTTTGTCACCCGCTCATAGTAAATACATGAGGGCTATTCGCGATTCGGTGTATAAGAGCTGACAAATTTATGCAATTGCAGAAATATGCCATGGATTGTGAGCGACCTTTATTAAACTGTCATGGCAAAGCTTTTGCAAAACAATTTTTGTGCATCAGCTTTGGTTTTGTTTATGAATGCAATGCATAGCATTTTTATGCTATGGATTTTCGGTATTGCAAATTTGCCAAGCCATGACAAATGCAAATGCGTGTATTTTGTTTGTGTATTGCAAATAATTTGCAATACAAATTTGCAATGCAATGATGCTAGGCCATTTGCACCGGATCGCGAATAGCCCTATGGAAACCAAAAGTGAAAAGTGAACCGGTTCGGGAAAATGAAACTCATGATAAGGCTATGTATTAAAATGCAAAATCCTGGTTGCATCAACTCTTGAATAAATACAAGTATTTATTTTGGCTAAAATTGGATAAACTAAAAAATACGATTACGTTAAGCTTTATTAATAACTAGCTGTACCCTGCCACGCTTTCATGTGGCATATTCCTGTTACATGGATGATAAATGATTAACGAAACAAAGCATACGTTTCATATGAGTTCGATTTTTTAATAAGTACTTGTGTGCACACAATATTTGTCGTTTTTGCATTCTCTACATATATATTAAGGATATCTGGTTTGCCGACACGGGAACATGCAACATCTGAGAAGCAATCCGCATCTAAATCTAAACCAAACTTTTCCAAAGGTTGACCTTGAGCATTATTGATTGCGATTCCGAATGCCAATTGAATTGGGAATTGTAATCTTTTAAATTGAAATGGTATATCGGTCGGAATCACGGGAATTCTTCACCTTTGAAAGGCCACGATAAAATCTTTGCTTACACTACGTTCTTTATCAATTTCTTAACTGCGAGTCGCGTGCAGTTGCAGAGTTTTGGCTGATTAATATTCCGTAACATAATAATTGGCACACCTATTTTCAATTTCAGTATGTGGTGTCATGGAATATGTATGGAAGATAATCGAGTTCAAAAATTCCGTTGGATAATTAACTGCTTCATCTGTTTCCACAACGGTGTTTATCGACGTATATGTTATTTCCTCACTTTGAATGCTGGATTGAATAACATTAGTGGTATTTACCAAAGTGAGTAAGTGGCCTGGCAGTCTGGTAAAAGAGCAGAGCAGCTCAGCAACGACTGTTGTCAATACCACTATTATTTAGTTGATAGACATCCTTATTCTTCGCACCAAGAATAGCTCATTCACTGAACCTATAACTAATTTTCTTAATTAAGAAACATTCTTTCGATCAGTTCTGCTTTCGATGTTCCTAA